GTGCTGACTACCCCAATGACATTGATGAAATCAAGGGCGCAGCAGGTGTGATGTTTTTCGGTGGTTCAGATACGGTGAGTAGATCGTTAAATCCGCTATCCCCTTCTACACTACGAGCCAAAAGACTTGGGCCACGCTCTCCGTATTTTTCCTCGCGATGCTCCTCCATCCAGAATATCAACGCCGTGCGCAGGCAGAGATCGATGACGTCATTGGCTCTGGACGCCTCCCAGATTTCTCTGACCGCACCTCGCTTCCCTTTGTAGAGTGTATTCTTCAGGAAACACTGCGGTGTGTCATGTTCCTGCAGTTCATTCACTGAATTACGACTCCCATGTAGATGGAATCCAGTCGTACCTCTAGGTTAGTAGACCAGATAATATGATGTAACCCTAGTGACTCACAGCCTAAAAGGTGTCGCCCATCGTTCGCTTGAAGATGATGTTTACAATGGGATGTTCATCCCCAAAGGGTCTTTGATAATTCCCAACACGAGGTAATTTTGCCCCCTATTTTTCGTACGAGGGATGTTTGGTGACATGCCACCTAGGGCTATGACTTTAGATGAGTCCATCTATACTGAACCCTTCAAGTTCGACCCATCACGCTACCTCCCAAAACCGGACGGGAATAAAGAACCCTATCCAAACGGACCATTCGGCTTTGGCCGCCGGTATGTTTTTCATTCTCCCCCTCTTCTCCATTCTGTGGGGGAGTACAGAACAAATAGCTTATAATCACTCATTACGCATCCTAGAATATGCCCAGGTCGCCATCTCGCGCTTAATAGCCTTTGGATTGCTATAGCGTCTATCCTAGCGGTTTTCGATATCGAGAAGTCAATTGGAAGTGATGGAGAGGAGGTTGTGCCTGTGATTGGGTTCTCGTCGGGGATTACTTGTCACCCGTTACCTTTTGAGACCTCCATTAAGCCTCGGAACGAGGCAGCGAGGCAGTTGATTGAGCGGGATGTGACTGAAGATACGTATTAGTGACGTATTGATGTATTTGTTAAGTAAAACTTAGTTTACCGTTCTGAAGAATTATGAATTATAGATAATTTTGAACGAGATTGTGTATCGCCTGTTGCCGCCCGAAGTAGGGCGTAGTTAATCGGGAAGGACGGCCAAAGATATATACTTGGATATTTCTACGCTGTTCAAATGCCATATCGCAGAGATAGGGTGTTAATACGTTTGCTTATTAGAGATCTAAGGCGCTAGGCTATTGATGTAAAACATGTCCACAGAGGTATGCGCAGGTTGCAATACATCGGACCTATGAAACGGTTATTCATGAGTAAAATCACGATGAATATGTTCAATATTCCATAACAATCGCGTGAACCCTACCCATGATTTCACTTGACTCTCTCTCATTAATACTTAAGGGTATATCCAAGAGATAAAATGAATGAAAAGAGGAGTTCCAAGGAAAGCTTTACTCTTGATTTCTGTTATATCGGCATTCGAACACGATCCATGTATACAATGATCTTCCGGAGGTGTCAGACAGTAAGCTTGGAACGAGAGAAAATCCCTCTCGGGATCGCCTATAGGCGGATATGTGATGTTGTTGTTTAAGTCGCCCATCGATGGAACGGGGGGGGGGGGAAGCCGAGATGGGGACTTTGAATATCTCAAGGTTCGATAAAACATGTTGGGCGCTTGGTGAATTGTATATATGGCGCTGTGCTGTTCTTAGTGCTTGTCTTCTCAGGGCCGTTTGATACCCCATTCCCTGATTCACGCTATCCGAATTCCAACATAAAGTGCATAGCTTCTTGATATTATTTAGTAGCTGTAGACGCGTAGTCAACCCTCTAGCCAGTCGTTATTGTTGCTTCAGCTTCGCCGTAGAGATCAGGTTCAGCTTTTGTGGCCTTGGGGCTGTTCGAAATATAAATAATGGTCGTCTGGTAATGTCCCATGTTCTTTGTGAATATGACTAAACAGAGAAGACCTGTAAGAGCAATATCATCGTAAAGTTATTATACCAAGATTTGGAAGAGAGTCGAAAGTTCGAGATGGACGTCGACGGTTGAGTTGAAGTTCGAAAACTGAATTGTCACGTTGTCATAGCACGTGATATCGCGACGCGTTTCTTTCCACGTGACAGGCAAGAAATATCGTCTTGCAACTTACCACCATCATCGCGCTTGTCAACAAGTCACAGATCCAAGATCATTATTATAATGTGGTAAGTTAAACTCCTCGGAATCCCCTGCCACCATCCGATCCCCCTCGATTGATCAGTGTACCAATGACTGGACTCTTTCGCTGCACGCAGTAAACACATTCTTAACGCCCAAGTATCCATCCGTGCACCATGTTGCAAGCAATGGTTCGATTGTGCAGAATGCCACGCAGAAACCCAAACACATTCTCTCGCAAAAACTGCTGAGATGGCTTTTATGTGCAAGAAATGTAAGAAGGCGTTCCGGAAGGATATGTCCGCTTATGAGGAGAGCGATGAGTACTGTCCACATTGTGATAATCATTATGTAGGTGCCTATAGATCTAGATTTTACAGACGAGGACTAACATGGTTAAATTTAGGTCTTAGAAGCGAAAACTCCACAAGCAGTCGTTGGGGTTGAAGGGGAAGATGCAAGAGTCGACAACCGGTATGTATCCAGTGGATTGCATTTTATTTTATATTGCTGTGCTAAAGTGATCGCGACCGACAGTATGCTTAAAGACGATCGTGTCAAACAGATTCAGAAACGTTCCATATTCGTGGACGACGATTTCAGCGACCGCATCGGATAACTTGCGTTGGATTATTCTCTATATGTATTTTAAACGCACTTATACATCTGCTCGATCTCAACCCCGTTTTACACCAATTACTCAATCGCTGTTTGAATAGGAACGGGAACGACTCGAACACAACAATGTGAGAGAAATATAAAATAATCATATCAGATCAAAGCGTCCCCTTTTTAAAACGCCAGATCAACCTCCAAAATAAACCAAAGCAACCACGACGATATGAGCATCGTCGCCTTATCTGAGAGCCCTGATACTACCTCGGAAACGCTCGAGAAGGGAAGCGTTACACCTAAAGTTTTGAAGAAAATTATGCATCCCTCGAAGTGGAAGATGAAAAGATGCAAGGAAATCGCAGTCGGACTATATCAAAAAACAAGACTCAAATTTTATAGAAACCCAGGCGTACGTACCGCCACCTTCTCACAAAAGGGACACCCGGCGGCAATCACAACATTCCTTTTGCGCAACACCACCGTCATCCAATATGAAATGGATGCGCCTACATCATGGTCCGGGCACTGGATTTTTTTTGTAACTAATCTGAGATTTCGATGGCCTAGCGCCAATTTTCCATTCAAGCCGTACTGAGTACATAAGGGCCAGGAGCCCGATGGGGTTCTCCTACGGGCATCGGCGACGCCGTATGTGAATAAGAGCCCACTTGGGGTTTTCGTAAGTTGCGAGAGCCCATCACGAAATGTCTGGTCCTTGTTCTTGCTTTGAAAATAGTGTCGGTACAGAGGTTTTGTGATTGTTGGGTTTGTAAATGATGTTTAGTCGACCGGAACACAACATATACATATTCGTAGATGGGCAGGCCTGGAAGAAGCATATGATCATAAAGACGACACACGGAGGGGTAGAGTCGATTGAGAAAAAGTAGAGAAATTGAATATAATTATGATGGTAACATCAAGTTGTCTTACGTCGGTGTTTAGGGTGTGGCGATATTATTTTATTGATTTTGATTTGTGAAATTGCATGTTTAACGCCAGAACCCTGCAGAGTAGTCGACCTATCGAATAAAATAGTCTGCAGTGTGATCAATATTGAGGCCTCGGAACGCATATAGGGACCACCCAATTGTAAGCAGTTGTCTAACCCACAATAGAACCCACACCCTCCCGACGAGCATCCTTCCATATTCAATCAGTAGTCGGCACACACGCCATTGTTGTTATTGCGACCAGGATCCAAAACTCGAGAGTTTCGTGGTAGAAAAATGAGACCGATCAGAACGTTTAATGTCGGAAGAGGCGGTTGCAGGAACGTGATTCGAGATCCAGGCGGTTCGCCCAGGGAAAATATGTCGTAAGTTGAACTAACCCGTCCGAAGTGTCAACATAGAACGAAAATAGGACATTAATTACATACATACCTCATTGTGCTTTCTTTGAAGACTGAAATCAATATCTAATGTACAAATTACAAGCCGTCAGAGCGACACAGCCAACATAAGAGATTGAGAGACTGACCATTTTTACTCTTCAACTTTTATTTTTCTTCGTTTATGTCTCCTTGGAGGCCTCGCGTCTTCCACCTCAGGCTTCACTTCCTCGACTGGTGGATACCCATTCATCACCAAATCCACAACAAACTTCGACAACAGCCTCCCAAAAAGCCCCATAAGCCCCCCAACTATGCAAGCGACGCCACAAAACACGTAAACCGGATAAAACGCATCTAGCAGATACATCGTCACCCCCAGAGGCAGTCGAATGAAGGTATCCACAACGAGCTCAAAGAAGACGATAACAGGTGCAAGAACGTATAGCAGTATCGGAAGAGGTGAGAAGAAGAGGATTGAACGTGTAGTTGTCGACAAGAGGGCTACAAAAAAGCGAGAGACGACGGAGATTCCTGAAAGAATAGCTGAGCCTGCAGATAGAAGGTATGGTATAGCCTGTTGTAGGCCAGGCGGAGGTGTGTTTATCGTTTCTGTTGATGCCATTATGGGTACTCGAGGAGTATGTCTCGACGTTGTGGGCGACGCTGTACTCGTCTTTGAGCTCGATGTGGGGCAAAGGTGGAAAAACGTTCATGTGACCTCTCGTACACGTGCAACCTCGCCAATTCCGGGTCACGAACTTGCGCTTAGAACATGATAACATGACTACACGAGGTTCTGCGAGTTGACAGCCTCCTCTATAAATTTTCTTTCTGTGATACATACATATCTCTCTCTATTCGGTATCAAAAAAGAGGTCCTTGCACCGCCAAAATTGTAGGCACTGCCAGGGTTCGAACCTGGGTTACGGGAACGATCGCGTCGATTGTAATCTACGCTTCAAAATCCCGAGTGATAACCACTACACTACAGCGCCTTACAAATTATAATTGCTTAGTGGAAAGTAATCCTGCCGTTTTAGCTCAAAATCCATGCAAATTTATTTTTATAGTCTTTTTTTATACATATGACAAAATGGGTATATTCAATCATTTTAATGACTACATAGCTAACGCAAATTGACTCAAAAACTCAAACGATGGTAATAACTTATATCAGCGTGACACAAACGCATATCCACTAAGTTGATCATTTTAGCACACATGCCTCATATTTAAGATCTCAAAATGTTTTGATTTGTGATCAGTATATGTCAGAACATTCTGGCAGATTCTCCTCAGTCCCTCGGGCCCGCGTTTTCGGGCGAGTTCTTTCATTTTTTTTCGGCTCTGATCCGTCAAAAATCAGCTTACTTATAAATCCGGTATCACGTGATACATAACATGTGGGAAAACTAACAAGATCGGTAAAAACGCAAGGATTGCTCATCTTGCCACAGCTTCTCATGGTTCTCGGGCGCCTTAAAGGCCTTTTGTTCTCTACTACGAAATTTGAACCCACAATCTATCGAGCATCCATGTCGAATAGTAAGCCGTTATAAACCCAACTGCAAAAACAGCTCACCTCATGTCTCGTTTTTTTAGCTTCCGGTGCTCCCGAGATCGCAACATTTGCTTCCGGATGCTTTTGGGGGACGGAGCATATCTTTCTCAAGTATTATCCCCCGGCACAGAATAAGGGCATTCTCAAGACGACCGTTGGCTATACAGGCGGTAACCCTCTCGTCAAAAACCCGGACTACAAATCAGTTTGCACAGGCGCCACGGATCATGCAGAGACTGTGAAGATCGAGTTTGATCCCGCTATCGTCACATACGACGAGCTCGTGGGTGAGTTTCGGTCAGCTTTCCTGTCGTCGTTTGGCAGCTCATGAGAGGTGCAGAATTCTTCTACAAGACCCACGACCCCACCACCGTCAACCGTCAAGGCGGTGATACCGGAACACGTGTGTCATTTGTCCTACCGTGGTCTTGTTTACGTCACTTACAGTCTTCCGCAGAGTATCGTTCTGCCATTTTCACACATGGCCCAGAGCAGGAGAAGGTTGCGAAACGAGTGACAGAAGAGGTTCAGGCGAAGCACTTTACACCCAAGGGCAAGAAAATCGTTACCACAATTGAGCCGGCAAGAGAGTGGTGGGACGCGGAGGAGTACCACCAGCTCTATCTGTACAAGAACCCGAACGGCTATCAGTGCCCCACCCACCGCCTGCATTGGTAGGCCTTATCTTGATGACGGATGAGATATTATTATCGCATGGATCAGCTGGTCATTTTTGTATGTGTGTACAGTTGTTTTGGAACATAGGACGTTGACAGAAGGCCATTATCTACATTTTCCCAGAAAAGTAACCTGGGTATATATAATAAATAAACATTTTGGATGACTCACAAGAACCGTATAAGTGGACCTGATCATTACGCCCAAGATGGAACAACTGATTACGTCGGGATCAAACATACATCCCCAATTGCTATGCATCACGCGTCATGCATTTTTTGTGCTAAATTTCGCACAGTGCGAAATCCCGGTAGTATAGCATCAACCCTCATGAAACGAACAGGCGTTAGAAACCAAGCGCTAGGAGGAAAACGGGGTGGCATATATGTAACCCACCAAGCGCTCAACTTGAATTATTTAACGCTGAGTAAACCAAGATTTCTGTTCCCATTTTCCCCCCACTATGTCGATTAGCAACACAATCATTAATGTTACATTTCCACCTCTAGAAAAACTGCACCCTAACCCCCTCTCATTCCAAGCTTATTGCCTCTTATCCCACGACGATTGTACTTTTGGCCCATGTCCGAATGCTGATATAACAGGAATTGGCAGAAAATATCTTGTAAGCTATCCGACACTCTCATTGAACCTGCTGAACCAATTCGCGTTGGGTCTAGTATATGTGACGTCCTCTTCATTGGGTACGTAGTTGGTCCTCATGATATACATTGGCATTCTGAACTATAATGTGCCAGCGCTCATCATCCTTTTTGCATCGGAAGTAGAATCTCGTCTCTCAACATATGCACATTTCGCAAACATATACGCACTGCTCATAACGACATATATCTCGTTCGGACGGGGACAGCTGACACAGAGCGATGCCATATTTGTCCTCAGTGCTGTCGCATCGCCGATCAGCATATACTTCTGGCTGTGGAATTTTTCGCAACTTGTGAAGATACGGAAATTTAAAAAACGCAGAGAAATTCTCCTAACGTTGATGATTTTCTGTTCTTTTGTTCTCTGGCTGACCATGGCCGGTATAACCATCTTCCCCACCTCCAGTAAATATTTCAGCCAGTCCCAATGCAATACTGAAAAAAGTTATCAAACATGGTACTCCTTGCTCTGGTATTTCCTATACATAGCACAGAACGCCTTCATCATTTTGTGTTGCAAGCTTATGCAATACAGGTTTATGAAAGAGATGTCCATCACCAGGTAACGTCAAAACAATCATTTGTGCCATCATAATTTAAATTTGCAACAGTGAAATCAATGTGATCGAATGGACACGAAATATGCTCGAAGGCACAATAATACCCATGACGCCTCACCGAATTGCTGCCATTCTCTTCATCATCCAAGTTTCGGTCGTAACCAGTATACCAGGACGAGTGCTCCCGTATCTACCTGCTACGACAGTATCTGGATTAATCCTGATCGCGACCTTTTTGTTGAGCGGCAGGCCATCATCGTTCTTCAGTTCCGAAACATTTGTTTTATGCGTGTAAGCCTTGGCTTGTTCACTCATATTTTACAATATTGGTGACATTTGATACAGATTCTTTTTCCTGATCCTGGTGACTTCTGTTAGCAATCAGTTTGGATATCTGCCTGGTAGTCCGTTTGGAGTGATATGCATTCTTCTATGGGTACAGCGTTCGTCATCGAAGTATAGCGCACTCAGGAGACCCTGGGCCTTCCTCACACACTTATTCATCACAATTTGTGTAACCTCCGTTCAATTTCTGGTGAACGTTGGTACACTAAACACAATAGATAAGAGTAAAGCCTTCCTTGGAACTCCTCTTTTCATTCACTTTATCTCTTGGATATACCCTTGGGTAATAATGAGAGAGAGTAAAGTGAAATCCTGGGTAGGATTCACGCGATTGTTATGGTATTTAGTCCAAATTCATTGTGGTTTTTACTTATAAATAACAGCTTCATAGGTCCAATGTATTGCAACCTGCGCCGTTCTTGAAGTTTAACCATCTTTTCATCGTTCCACATGTCGCGTGGATCTGGGCCACCATCGTCGCCAACCCTACACCGACGAACGACCTCACATTTGGACAGGTTCGTTCATATTTTGTTTGGTATCCGACACTCTTAATTGATGCGATCAAGATAGTTATTATCAATTTTTCTGTTGTTAATCCCTTTATGGACAGTCATAGAGATGACATATAAAAAACGCAGGGAGATCATACGCTCGGTGTGGATGGTTGAGACAGACACTCATGATCAACTGCCCACAACGGGGATTCCTCTGACGCTGAGTGTGGCCTACCATTTACCTAATCGACCTGTCTAATGAATTTGCATCGCTAGTAACGTCTGCTTCGCCCACCAGAAAAGTCACGCCCACGCATCCCACCGACCATCCTGTACTGGACATTACGAGCGATAGTACAATGACACTTATCTCCCCGAATGACCTTGCGCCGAGGAGTAATCTACCCCTTCTCGGTGGTACACGAGGAAGAGTTAACTCTCTAGGATAACTAATAATCATAGGGTACTATTCAAATGCTCGCCTGACTTCAGAGATTGGGATTTAATATAAGTATATGTATACCACTAAACATAGCTCGAAATTCATCCAATGGGGCTTTGACAACCCAGGCGTGGAATCTATCCGAGAAAATGCCTTACGTTAGTATTCTAGCACCGTGAATTTCTAGTAAGCTCGCATTTGGATCCCTCGTTTAAACCATAGCCTTTCCCCCATCGTTCCGCCGATGGATAGCATGTCATTAGTATCGTAGCATGTATTCTTACTTATTCGGCAATAAACTGCACCCCACCTCGAATGGTGACGAATGATACGTGGTCCCGTTCGAAATCCATTACTGTGTGTGGCGTGCCATCGAAAACCATCAGCAGAGGTAAAATCCATAGTTTTTGACTTTAACGAGGGTCCTACAATCGAGTTTACAGGAAGGATGCGTGACCCTTGGTATACCCCCGCCCAGGGAACGTGTTTAAAGAGCGATATCTATGGGGTGAGCTGCTACATAATGTCTCAGATACATGTCAAAAAATTTTCACAAGTGGGATGTTCAGAGGGGAAAGGCGACGACAAATTTACCATTGGTTATATTTTTTTTAATCCTAGTCTCAATTTAGTACTCGGCCTGCACGAGAATTTAGGTAGTGCGAACTGCCAAGCAACACCTCGAGTAAATCTCGGACGTTTTTCCTTCCACAGGCCGGGGTGAGGTGTTCTTGGAATTTAGAGTGTTTATGTAACTTGTAAGAGGTAATCGTTATCGCGAAATTGTCAGGAAATTTACACATTTACTTATTCAACCATTGTGAAAGTAAGCAGGTTCAATTAAGCAAAAAAAAAAGTTGGAAAGCACCTACTTAACTTGAAAACGCAAATCCATCTTTTAAGGAGTGGGAAATACGTCGATAAGGACGCTTAGTATGCATTAACTTGTTTACTGACGTTTCTTCGGGAATCCAACTTTTTTCCACGATTTTATTATAGGTAGGGATTTTAATTTTTCAAAGGCCGGCCAGCGGGGCTTCAAATGTCTGATGGATTATGGAAAAAGTGGATCGCGTTATTACTTCTTATCCAGCACACAAATTCAAGCACAGCATCAATACCCTCCCTTCTGTCCAATGTTTTTCGTTTCTATGACCGCTGACTTCAAGTTCTGTCAGCTACCAATATATTTATCCACGAAGGACATGTCCACATAGGGTCGGAACAATAAAACCGTCTTATGTGGG